TTTTGCTACCCTATACTAGAGTAAACTCCCCAAATCCCCCCTATCCTAGAGTAGCAGTTTCCCTGGTCTAGAGAACATCTTCAACCAGGAGCCTATCAAATTTGATGGGCTCCTGCTTCAACCAACTGATCAGTTTCCTGAAAAATGATACCCTATTCTGGACCCAATTGGTCTGTATATACCCTATCCTAGAGTAAACTGCTTGAAAACCATACCCTTCACAGCGGCACATACCCATATAGCCCATATATGGCAGTATCCCCCCCCCCGGGACTGTGAACTAGCCTGCGTAGCAAGCGTTTCCGTTTGGTTTCGGAGCAAAGAAAGACCGAGGAACGGGATTCTCGGTTTTGGCCGCGCGAGAAATGAAACAAGAACCAAAAAATGAAAGTGGGGGGAGGGGGAGGGGAAGGAAGGAAACCCCCTCCACACTCTTTTACTTGCGCCATTTTTCGCGCGGTCTTTGACTCTCGTTCCTCGTTCTTTGCTCCTAAACCGCACGGAAACGCTTGCTACGCAGGCTAACTGTGAACATAACCTAAGAGAACATACGGCGTTATCCAAATTTGAATAATCCCCCAAGGAATTGCTTTCCGCGCCTCTTTTGTCCTGTTTTATCAGAATTTTGAGGAACGTTTGACAAACTGGTCTTCCTTATTTTACTCTCAATATGCTAAATGTACATACTTCATATGGAAGATTTCTTTGGGTTCATCGGCATTTTCATTCATCTTCTTCCTACAGGTATTTTTAAAGATAAGAAACGTGAGACGTTGTTTTCAGCATTTAGACAATGTAAGACATTTCTCTCTGTAAAAAAAAAAAAAAAAAAAAAAAAAACTAGGTGTAGAAGGAAAATAAATTAAATAAAAAAAAATTTTTTGTTAAAAACATAAAAATTTTGTTCCAACGTTAATGGTTTCCGAATTTTTCGTTCCCCACCACCGCCCCCCGCGGGTCCCTTGTTCCACAACAAGCACTTTTTTTTTTCTGTTTTTTTATTTTTTTTTTCTCCCTGTTTTTTTTAGTTTCCCCTTGTTTTTCTATGTTTTCCCTGTTTTCCTATGTTTTCCCTTGTTTTAGTATGTTTTCCCCGTTTTTCTCTGTTTCCACCCGTTTTCCTTTGTTTTTCCCTGTTTTCCAATGTTTCCCCCTGTTTTCCCTTGTTTTCCTATGTTTTTTTCCCTGTCTTCCCTTGTTTATCTATGTTTTCCCCTGTTTTCCTCTGTTTTCAACAGGTTTCCTATGTTTCCGTCTGTTTTCCCTTTTTTCATCTGGTTTTCTCTGTTTTCTCTTATTTTCCTATGTTTTCCCTGTTTTCCTATGTTTTCCCCTATTTTCCTCTGTTTTCCCATGTTTTCCTATGTTTCCTTCTGTTTTCCCTTGTTTCCCATTTGTTTTTCCCTCTTTTCTCTTGTTTTCCTAAGCTTTCCCTGTTTTCCCATGTTTTTCCTGTATTCCTTTGTTTTCCCCTGTTCTTCAGGGGAAACATAGGAAAACAGAGGAAAACAGGGGAATTAAGGAGGAAAAAGGGGAAAAAAGAAATTTTAAAAAGTATTTTTTTCGGGACATATTATGAAGTCTTACATGAGATACTAACTTTCGTGAGGGTGAGAGTTCGCGACGCTTCGGGTCAACCGAGAGAGCTTGGGAAGAGCAAAGAGCCGACATTCTCTTAGCGCGGGCTCATTTCCCAAGCTCACCCTCAACCTCGTACCCAGAGTCTTCGGGCTTTCTGGTCAGCGGGGGAACGCCGGCGAGGAGTCTGGGAAAATGGAATTTGCATCCCCAGAAAACTTGGGAATCCGATCTTAGTGCGCATGCTTCAGTTCAAAACGGAAGTGAAAATGACATTCCGCGAGAAAGCCTAAACTTGATTCTTTCAGTCGTACACACGATCTAAAGGAACACGATTTTTTCAATGATAATTTATATTCATTGGTTTCCAGCAAGACCGAGCGATGATTTGAGTGTCTCTGGGCCCTTTGGTTCAAAACTTCTGTTTTGTGAGCATGATTTTTGTACAATTTTCTGTGGGCGGTGATTCAAAATGTTAATACCCTCGCCAAGAAATGCCATAAATGCTGTTGTTTTGATCAAGTTGGCTTTCAATGGTAGAGAAAGAATGCAAAAGAAAGCAGGCTATTTTTGACGTGTAATTTCGTATGAAAGCGGGTATTTGCAAAGATTGCGACCGTGGAAACATATCGACCGAAGTCCTCTTGAGGTGTTTCGATACAGTTTTTCGCAGACCATACCGATGTTTTTCAATCGCCTTAAAAGTGATTTTATCCTTTTCCGATCGCCACAAAATTTTCATCACTGATTAACTATGAATTGAAGTTTGTCAAAATGCAGTTTTTAGTGCAAAAAGCGCCAAATTTAGCGCGTTTCAAAAGACTTAGGAAAAAAATTAAAAATTTCTAAAACAATACCTAAAACCCCAACGGNGGGGGGACACGAGGTGGGGGGGGGGATCAAGAGTTTTTTCGAGGCGGGGCGCTCTTGTCTTTTTTCACACCCACAACAAAAATAACCCAGTTTTTTTTTTTTTGGGGGAACACGGTGTTTAGACAAAACCCGCAGGGTCCGTGGGGGGGGGGGGGGGAGGGGGGGTGCGCACCCCCTGCACCCTCCCCCTAGATCCGCCCCTGAGCTTTTCGACTAGTTGTAGGCCTGGCCGACTTTCATATCCTGAAAATTGCACGCATGACTAGTATACACTGATCTCACTAACACTTTGAGCTCTTGAGCTTTTTAACTCACCCCAACAACGCATAATTTATTACAAGAGGTAGAGTGATCAAACGACCAAAAATTTGTAGGCCCGGGCCTGCAGGTCTATGGGCTGGCTACGGCCCTGGCAGGAAGAATAAATAAACTTTCACAGGTAAGGCTTAGATTTGCAACATTTCAGCACTATTTTTGTAGTAAGGTCAGGTGTGGCTTCGAGTGCTGCCTGTTGCGCGGAGAAAGACACTAGAGACGCCCATTGCCAGAGTTTGTTATGTCGCAAGTAGCTTTTGAACGTCCCACAAGAGCGAGCATGGCCAAAAAAAAGACTTACTTAGAAGAGAACTAACTTTAGGTCACTTTTTACTTTTTCACTCAATTTTCCATTTCACTTGGAAAATTGTCCCGCCATCCCTGGACTGCCGATCCCTGGACTGCCGAGTGAAAGTGTTGTGAGACATAAACCAAGGTAAATTTTCAAAATGGCGGGGCGATTAAAAGCGAAAATAGGCGAATTTTCGTGTCCTTTTCTTTTTCGATTACTAATAAATGATGGTCAAATAGTGGTTTAGCCGGAAATTAGGAATTGATTAAAGTAGTATAGGAAAGAAGTTGCTTTGCCAATTTACCTGATCTCTTCATAGAAGATATCACTGCACTCCTTGTGGAAGTTGACAACGTGGTCACTGGAAACGAATATGGCGTTGCAAGATGGCCACTGTTTCCCGACCGTGTCACTTTTGTAGTTTGTGTGGTTTGGTTGGCAACAGTGACACAGCTATAACTCAAACAGTTTGTGGCATTGTACAACGCACTGAAGCCGGTGAAAGAGATATTCATATCAGATTTGAATATTAAAAACATGTTGTTTGACGACGAGTAGATCCCTCTTTTGGGTGGACGATGACCCCCAGAGAAAACTCCCAACACCTTCCCAGTGACATTTTTTCCATCGTACACATACAGAACGTCCGTGTTATTTTCGTTTTGCAAACTGAAGTCTGTGAACGTTAAGTGGATCTGTTGGGCTGGGCTGACTGTGATCGTCCAGGAGCAGTACTGTCCATTCGGGTATTTGTTTGGATAGTTTGGAGAGTGGAAGGTGCCGTTCAATCCCGTTAGCGTTTCGTTGCACCCTGGAAAAAAGTCACAAACCCTGGGCGTGAATGTTAGAAGGGCCTGTATATTTTCAATAACCATTGTAGCACATCAAATACAATTAAGATTCCTTTTCTCCACTTCTCTTAAGTAAAGAACGTTCTGTAACTCTCTTACAGTACTTTTTCTTCTTGATTGCAACGAGCAAATCTTGCGGTTGTGGTTCTGAACTTGCCGCAAGATGTCAGAGAGGAACAAGCTCAAATAAGCATGTTTCAAAGGAGCTGGTGTTTGTCCAAATGGTAAACTTTCTTCTGCAGCTGAGATGTTGGCTTTGAAAAGATAAATGGCGTTCAGTTATTGATATGAAATCCCGCAAGAAGCAAACCATAGAGAAAAGCGGAGAAAGGTTTCGTTGAGTGAAATAGCTGACTGCAAAGGCAAACATTATCTCTACCTCTTTCCCAGGGTCTGCCCCTCGAGCTCCGGAGGCCGAGTAAAAGAAAACCCTGGGAACAAGGTTGACACTATCTAGGCTAGATTTAGCAGTTATGTAATCTAAGAATCGTTCTTCAAGTATGCTGACTAATTGACATTTTGAATTGTAAGATGGACCTTTGTATAAGGTTTTTTGAGAGAATATAATGCGTCCAACATTTCAAATTGCTTACCTTGATAATAACAGTAATGAATTTTGTGATTATCAATTCCAGCACCATGAGGATGTGACCCTCCTTGGTCGTCTGCGTTACTAGAATCTTCATTATCAAACCGTATCCACTCCACACTTACCACCGCCCATCTCACCTGCTGGCATTCAGCGGAATCATAAGCTAGCAGGAAAAATGGCTTGAGGGTGGGGAGAGAGATGGGATTGTTTTTATCTCCATCTGTTCTACAACAAAATTCAATCTTTGTGTTGCGATCGTATACGCCATCAGGAAGTGTCCCGGTTTGGTTGTTTTTGTTGTTATTGTCCTCATCGTCCCATTTGATATATCCTGATGTGAGACTGATTGGACAGGAACCCCCTTTCTTGTAAATGCAGTATTTACCTGAATATTCCATGTAAAAGAAAGGTATTAATACTCTTTAGCGTTTTATTGGATAATTTTAGTGCGCTGCCTTACGTGTTAGGTGTCCCGAAATCATTTCATCATTTTCGATGACCAAATTGCACTTTGTTAACCCCTAGTTCCCAAATTTCAGTTTTTCCTGGGTATCACAGTCGTCTAAAGAGAAATCGAAGATAACGGTGATGTAAAATTTTGGAGGGTAAAAAAGCTTCAATATGGTTTTAGTGAAAATGATGAATTCCCAATTGTGTTTTGTAAAGTATTTTTAACGTAAATGAAGCACAGATGGAGACAGGGGATCTAAAATGAGCGCAACGTCCGCGTTCTTTTACGGTGAACTAACTTTGTACCTGGAGGCCATGAGCCTCGTGTCATATCAGTTGATGTGTCTGTTTTCATGCAGAAAGAGCGGATAATGCCCCTTTTGCTGTCCACAGTTGCGTCAAGATGGAATTGCGGTGATTTATGGTTGTTAGGATTGCTATCTTCGGTATCCTGATATCTCCTCCCAATGAGCCACTGAAATCCATTAGCACCTGGACACCCGGATGCAGCTTTGGGTATCCCGTATGAACCAGCTGGCCAATGGATGGATCCTAAAAGGGCAAGTAAATGAGAGACAAACCGGAAGTGAATTTCGAATTGTCATTCATTTGGTATTATTAAAAATTACTTTAACACGCATGACATTAATTTTATCAACGGTTATGAAGTACGAAGTAATACTTAAATTATCCTAAAAGCAGCCTCGTCCTTAAGCGTTCTTTATTGCACCGTTGTCCGCGAAATCTGGGAAAGGATGGATCTTTCTCTATGACGTCACAGCTCACGGTATGACCAAGCCGAGAACCGTGGGTCTAAGGAATAGGTTGTCCTAAAAGCACTTTCGTCAATTATTCGATAAGCAGTAGGACCGACGAGCTTTTTGAAAATCCAGAGGTTCTTGAGGAAACCCGAGTGTTTGAGAACTCCAAGGTTTTCTTATAACGAGAGTGAAGTTAAGCAAAGGGGACGTTGGCCCAGGATTTATTTATTCATATTTTTGCATTTGTGTTTTGCCTTTCGTTAGTTAACATCATTAAATAGCTTCATACCTGATGTAAACACCGGTCCTGTTACAGAAGACGAAGATGCCAGTTGTATTTTAGATGATGTGGGTACCAGCTCTGTTGATATTGACGTAGCGATTACTTTTCTGGTGGAAGAGACAACAAATGGTCGTGCTTTTGATGTCATCATCATCACCGACTTTTCACCACAAAACCACGTCGATATTTGGGTAACAGATAATGACGTCACCATCAGAACTCCTTTGGATGTCGAAATTTTGTTCGACGTCATTGGAGAATCGATTTTCTGTGATGTCGTGATAAGCCTTCTTATGGAAGATTTTTTTGTCATTTTTGTGTCAGATGAGAACATCGTCGTTCCGAAAGAATATGGCATAATGAGAGACGGTGTTAATTTTGAAGTTTGAGAGGATGGGTTGCAGTGATTACCTAAACAGTCCACGGCTTTGTACAAGGCACTAAAGCCGGTGTAAGAGATACTCTTATCTGATTTGAATATTAAAAACATTTGGTTCGACGAGGAGTTGATTCCTTCTATTGGGGGAGTGTGGTTTCCATAAAACACTCCTAGCACCTCCCCTGTGGAATTTTCTCCATCATACACATACAAAGCGTCCGTGTTATTTTCGTTTTGCAGATTAAAGGCTATGAACGTTAAGTGGATTTGTTGGGCTGAGCTGACTGTGATCCTCCAGGAGCAGTACTGTCCGTCTGGGTATTTGTTGGGATAGTTCGGGGAATGGAAGGTGCCTTTTAATGCAGTTAGAGTTTCGTTGCATCCTGGAGAAAAAAAGATAAAAAAATACTGATTTGCGGTTGCGTTGCGTTCTGATCCCTACATCTAAATCTTTAGTCTAACCCATCGCTTTCCACTTCTGTTGTTCATTTTTCTTTCTCTTAGAAAAATAATATCCAATGTAATATCCTTTGTTCATGAAGAACAAAGTTTCGACGAGCAAAGCTTGAACTATTGTAGTGGACCAATGAGGAAGATCGTAACGATGAGAGTCGGAATTTGATGTTTTAAAAGAGGCTATGAGAAAAAGTCCACATTACAAGAGTTTTTTTCTGTTTACATTGGTTTCAACTTAGCCAAGCTTCAATGAACATTATCTTTCTAAAAAACGATGAAGTCGCAACAGTTTTAAGTCTTTTAAGCGTAAACAAGGAGTTGCTAAACTCCAAACGTTGGTTAACATTAGTCAAATTAAGAAATGATCCGGATAAGGCGGATAGCAATTTCTTTTGTTATGCGGCAACGGTGCTTTCCCCACATAGGAATGTTCTCATTTTTACACAGAGAATGCATAAACCTACATGAAGGCCGTTTACGTAATAAAATGCATTTACACTCCACTTTGAAAGGGTGTTTTTTTGTGTTAAAAGATTTTGACCAATCACAACAATTGAAAACAATAGCCAAGAAAAGTTTACAATTTTACATGTTCCCCACATAGGATTTCTTTGTTATTCAAACTGAGACCAGACTATGTTATATGGAAGATGGTTGGAAAGTAAGGATGGATATCTGTAAGGCTTTATGAAGTTTTGTTAACTTTTGCTGTTTGAGTCAATCAGAAGTAAGTACAGACAATAGAAAAGTCAGCACTTTTTTTGCATTCCAAAATGTTCGTTGCCGTTGTTGCTATCGTTCTTATCAGGACCGTTTCTTAAATGCAATTGTCATCCTAATCAAATCTCTGAAGGTTATGTAGCCAAAGAATTTAAAGCCCCGTGAGCGAATCGATTGCTATTAAAAGGTGCCCTTCATTGAATAGGACAGATGAAGACATACTGTATTCAGTATGGACAGATTCAGTATTGGACAATATTGGAGAGTACTGGATTCAGTATTGGACAGATGAAGACGTAGTGCATTCAGTACTTCAATTCACTTACCCTGATAGTAACAGTAATGAATTTTGTGATTATCAATTCCAGCACCATGTGGATGCGACCCTCCTTGGTCGTCTGCGTTACTAGAATCTTCATTATCAAACCGTATCCACTCCACACTGACTACCGCCCATTTCACATGCTGGCATTCAGCGGAATCATAAGCTAGCAGGAAAAATGGCTTGAGGGTGGGGAGGGAGATGGGATTGTTTTTATTTCCATCTGTTCTACAACAAAATTCAATCTTTGTGTTGCGATCGTATACGCCATCAGGAAGTGTCCCGGTTTTGTTGTTTTTGTTGTTATTGTCCTCATCGTCCCATCTGATGTATCCTGATGTGAGATTGATTGGACAGTAACCCCCTTTCTTGTAAATGCAGTATTTACCTGAATATTCCATGCAAAAGAAAGGTATTAATACTCTTTAGCGTTTTATTGAATAATTTTAGTGCGCTGCCTTACTTGTTAGGAATCCCGAAGTCAATTCATCATTTTCGATGACCAAAATGCACTTTGTGTACCCCTCGTTCCCAAATTTTAGTTTTTTTGCTGGGTATCACAGTCGTCTAAAGAGAAATCGAAGATAACGGTGATGTAAAATTTTGGAGGGTAAACAAGCTTCAATATGGTTTTTGTTAAAATGATGAATTCCCAATTGTGTTTTGTAAAGTAGCTTTAACGTAAATGAAGCACAGATAGAGACAGGGGATCTAACATGAGCGCAACGTCCGCGTTCTTTTACGGTGAATTAACTTTGTACCTGGAGGCCATGAGCCGCGTGTAATATCAGTTGTTAGGATTGCTATCTTCGGTATCCTGATATCTCCTCCCAATGAGCCACTGAAATCCATTAGCACCTGGACACCCGGATGCAGCTTTGGGTATCCCGTATGAACCAGCTGGCCAATGGATGGATCCTAAAAGGGCAAGTAAATGAGAGACAAACCGGAAGTGAATTTCGAATTGTCATTCATTTGGTATTATTAAAAATTACTTTAACACGCATGACATTAATTTTATCAACGGTTATGAAGTACGAAGTAATACTTAAATTATCCTAAAAGCAGCCTCGTCCTTAAGCGTTCTTTATTGCACCGTTGTCCGCGAAATCTGGGAAAGGATGGATCTTTCTCTATGACGTCACAGCTCACGGTATGACCAAGCCGAGAACCGTGGGTCTAAGGAATAGGTTGTCCTAAAAGCACTTTCGTCAATTATTCGATAAGCAGTAGGACCGACGAGCTTTTTGAAAATCCAGAGGTTCTTGAGGAAACCCGAGTGTTTGAGAACTCCAAGGTTTTCTTATAACGAGAGTGAAGTTAAGCAAAGGGGACGTTGGCCCAGGATTTATTTATTCATATTTTTGCATTTGTGTTTTGCCTTTCGTTAGTTAACATCATTAAATAGCTTCATACCTGATGTAAACACCGGTCCTGTTACAGAAGACGAAGATGCCAGTTGTATTTTAGATGATGTGGGTACCAGCTCTGTTGATATTGACGTAGCGATTACTTTTCTGGTGGAAGAGACAACAAATGGTCGTGCTTTTGATGTCATCATCATCACCGACTTTTCACCACAAAACCACGTCGATATTTGGGTAACAGATAATGACGTCACCATCAGAACTCCTTTGGATGTCGAAATTTTGTTCGACGTCATTGGAGAATCGATTTTCTGTGATGTCGTGATAAGCCTTCTTATGGAAGATTTTTTTGTCATTTTTGTGTCAGATGAGAACATCGTCGTTCCGAAAGAATATGGCATAATGAGAGACGGTGTTAATTTTGAAGTTTGAGAGGATGGGTTGCAGTGATTACCTAAACAGTCCACGGCTTTGTACAAGGCACTAAAGCCGGTGTAAGAGATACTCTTATCTGATTTGAATATTAAAAACATTTGGTTCGACGAGGAGTTGATTCCTTCTATTGGGGGAGTGTGGTTTCCATAAAACACTCCTAGCACCTCCCCTGTGGAATTTTCTCCATCATACACATACAAAGCGTCCGTGTTATTTTCGTTTTGCAGATTAAAGGCTATGAACGTTAAGTGGATTTGTTGGGCTGAGCTGACTGTGATCCTCCAGGAGCAGTACTGTCCGTCTGGGTATTTGTTGGGATAGTTCGGGGAATGGAAGGTGCCTTTTAATGCAGTTAGAGTTTCGTTGCATCCTGGAGAAAAAAAGATAAAAAAATACTGATTTGCGGTTGCGTTGCGTTCTGATCCCTACATCTAAATCTTTAGTCTAACCCATCGCTTTCCACTTCTGTTGTTCATTTTTCTTTCTCTTAGAAAAATAATATCCAATGTAATATCCTTTGTTCATGAAGAACAAAGTTTCGACGAGCAAAGCTTGAACTATTGTAGTGGACCAATGAGGAAGATCGTAACGATGAGAGTCGGAATTTGATGTTTTAAAAGAGGCTATGAGAAAAAGTCCACATTACAAGAGTTTTTTTCTGTTTACATTGGTTTCAACTTAGCCAAGCTTCAATGAAAATTATCTTTCTAAAAAACGATGAAGTCGCAACAGTTTTAAGTCTTTTAAGCGTAAACAAGGAGTTGCTAAACTCCAAACGTTGGTTAACATTAGTCAAATTAAGAAATGATCCGGATAAGGCGGATAGCAATTTCTTTTGTTATGCGGCAACGGTGCTTTCCCCACATAGGAATGTTCTCATTTTTACACAGAGAATGCATAAACCTACATGAAGGCCGTTTACGTAATAAAATGCATTTACACTCCACTTTGAAAGGGTGTTTTTTTGTGTTAAAAGATTTTGACCAATCACAACAATTGAAAACAATAGCCAAGAAAAGTTTACAATTTTACATGTTCCCCACATAGGATTTCTTTGTTATTCAAACTGAGACCAGATTTTGTTATATGGAAGATGGTTGGAAAGTAAGGATGGATATATGTAAGGCTTTATGAAGTTTTGTTAACTTTTGCTGTTTGAGTCAATCAGAAGTAAGTACAGACAATAGAAAAGTCAGCACTTTTTTTGCATTCCAAAATGTTCGTTGCCGTTGTTGCTATCGTTCTTATCAGGACCGTTTCTTAAATGCAATTGTCATCCTAATCAAATCTCTGAAGGTTATGTAGCCAAAGAATTTAAAGCCCCGTGAGCGAATCGATTGCTATTAAAAGGTGCCCTTCATTGAATAGGACAGATGAAGACATACTGTATTCAGTATGGACAGATTCAGTATTGGACAATATTGGAGAGTACTGGATTCAGTATTGGACAGATGAAGACGTAGTGCATTCAGTACTTCAATTCACTTACCCTGATAGTAACAGTAATGAATTTTGTGATTATCAATTCCAGCACCATGTGGATGCGACCCTCCTTGGTCGTCTGCGTTACTAGAATCTTCATTATCAAACCGTATCCACTCCACACTGACTACCGCCCATTTCACATGCTGGCATTCAGCGGAATCATAAGCTAGCAGGAAAAATGGCTTGAGGGTGGGGAGGGAGATGGGATTGTTTTTATTTCCATCTGTTCTACAACAAAATTCAATCTTTGTGTTGCGATCGTATACGCCATCAGGAAGTGTCCCGGTTTTGTTGTTTTTGTTGTTATTGTCCTCATCGTCCCATCTGATGTATCCTGATGTGAGATTGATTGGACAGTAACCCCCTTTCTTGTAAATGCAGTATTTACCTGAATATTCCATGCAAAAGAAAGGTATTAATACTCTTTAGCGTTTTATTGAATAATTTTAGTGCGCTGCCTTACTTGTTAGGAATCCCGAAGTCAATTCATCATTTTCGATGACCAAAATGCACTTTGTGTACCCCTCGTTCCCAAATTTTAGTTTTTTTGCTGGGTATCACAGTCGTCTAAAGAGAAATCGAAGATAACGGTGATGTAAAATTTTGGAGGGTAAACAAGCTTCAATATGGTTTTTGTTAAAATGATGAATTCCCAATTGTGTTTTGTAAAGTAGCTTTAACGTAAATGAAGCACAGATAGAGACAGGGGATCTAACATGAGCGCAACGTCCGCGTTCTTTTACGGTGAATTAACTTTGTACCTGGAGGCCATGAGCCGCGTGTAATATCAGTTGATGTGTCTGTTTTCATACAGAAAGAGCGGATAATGCCCCTTTTGCTGTCCACAGTTGCGTCAAGATGGAATTGCGATGATTTATGGTTGTTAGGATTGCTATCTTCGGTATCCTGATATCTCCTCCCAATGAGCCACTGAAATCCATTAGCACCTGGACACCCTGATGCAGCTTTGGGTATCCCGTATGAACCAGCTGGCCAATAGATGGATCCTAAAAAGGCAAGTAAATGAGAGACAAACCGGAAGTGAACTCCGAGGTTTTCTTATAATGACAGTGAAGTTAAGCAAAGAGGACGTTAGCCCAGGGTTTATTTATTCATTTTTTTTGCATTTGCGTTTTACCTTTCGTTAGTTAACAGCATTAAATAGCTTCATACCTGATGTAAGCACCGGTCGTGTTACAGAAGACGAAGATGCCAGTTGTATTTTACATGATGTGGGTACCAACTCTGTTGATATTGATGTAACGATTGGTTTTCTGGTGGAAGAGACAACAAATGGTCGTGCTTTTGTTGTCGTCATCACCGACTTTCCAGGAGCAGAAAACCCCGTCGACATTTTGGTAACAGGTAATGACGCCACCATCAGAACTCCTTTGGATGTCGAAATTTTGTTCGACGTCATTGGAGAATCGATTTTCTGTGATGTCGTGATAAGTCTTCTTATGGAAGAGTTTCTTGTTAGCTTTGTGTCAGATGAGAACATCCTCGTTCCGAAAGAATATGGCATAGTGAGAGACGGTGTTAATTTTGAAGTTTGAGAGGATGGGTTGCAGTGATTACCTAAACAATCCACAGCTTTGTACAAGGCACTGAAGCCGGTGTAAGAGATATTCTTATCTGATTTGAATATTAAAAACATTTGGTTTGACGAGGAGTTAATTCCTCCGAACGGGGGAGTGTGACTGCCATAAAATACTCCCAGCACCTCCCCTGTGGAATTTTCTCCATCATACACATATAATGCGTCCGTGTTATTTTCGTTTTGCAGATTAAAGGCTGTGAAAGTTAAATGGATTTGTTGGGCTGGGCTGACTGTGATCCTCCAGGAGCAGTACTGTCCATCCGGGTATCTGTTTGGATAGTTCGGTGAGTGGAAAGTGCCGTTCAATTCAGTCAGAGTTTCGTTGCAGCCTGGAAAATAAGGATCACAAAATACTTGGCTTGTGGTTGAGTTGCCTTCGGACGACTTCCCTGTATCTAAATCTAGTTTTTTTTCTGATTTCCTTCTTTTAAGAAAAAAAAATTCCGGTGTAAAACTCTTTGTTCGTGACTAAAAAGGTAGTTATTGTTTAATCCGCACTAATAAATGCGTTCTTAACAATGAAAGTCGAACTTTAATAATGTTTTGAAGAAACTAGAAGTAATCATTTTACCAGAGTTTTCTTTCTTTTCTTTAAGTTTAAGTTGTTTACGTTGTTTTCGATTATTCATGGTTCATACATTATTTTCTTTAAAAAGAATAGAGCCATAACAGTTTTATAAGGGGAAATAAGAGTTTTTACATTTCAAAAGTAGGTTTAAATACAATAGACTCTTTAGCTTCTATGTTTTGATCTCAGGGGATTTCGCTCCTTTGTCTCTTTATAAATCATGTGTAGATATGCACCGGTGGAAGACGAAATTTGATTGAAGAGTTCTCAAGAGTACTATCACATGACCTACACTGGGAAATCAAAACATACAACTGAAGCCAAAGAGGTCTATTGCCATTCTAATCAAATCTCCAGCGGTTCCAGCTTATTTAAAATGAAGGTTATGTAACCTAAGAATCATAAGCCCATGTGAGCAAATCGTTCTACACTAAGAAAAACCCTGAAACACTGAGTAGGACAGATGATGAAATATTCGATTCAGTACTTCAATTTTCTTACCCTGATAATAACAGTAATGAATTTTGTGATTATCAATTCCAGCACCATGTGGATGCGACCCTCCTTGGTCGTCTGCGTTACCAGTATCTTCATTATCAAACCGTATCCACTCCACACTGACTATCGCCCATTTCACCTGCTGACATTCAGCGGAATCAAAAGCTAGCAGGAAAAATGGCTTGAGGGTTGGAAGGGAGATGGGATTGTTTTTGTCTCCATCTGTTCTGCAGCAAAATTCAATCTTTGTATTATGGTCATATACACCATCAGGAAGTGTCCCGGTTTTGTTGTTACTGTTATTATGGTCTTCATCGTCCCATTTGATATATCCTGATGTGAGGTTGATTGGACAGGAACCACCTTTTTTGTAAATGCAGTATTTACCTGAAGATAAGATGCACAATATGAGTAAGCCTTTAGCTTTTCATCGGATTGACCGGATTCCAATAGGCGAACACAGAATCGGCTCCTGGTGAGCATTGGTACAATCGCACCGTCATTTGCTAACGAGCACACCTTCTGAAGTGATACACGTAACAGGGACATTTACTGAGGCATGTGTCCTCTGCAGAATTTTTTATTTTTGCTGTAGGAGAGGTTTGGCTGCTATAGTTCTTATTACCTTCAATGCTTTGTTGTTATATGTGTTGTCCGCTACTGTGCTCACACGGTGGGTGGCTCCTCCTAAAATGTTCTGCAATTGGTATAGGATTTAATGGAGCCGAAACCAATTGTGGAATTGCACGCATTTTTTGGGACACGTAGATATATTTATTAGCAACTACTATAATTTGCAGTCTGTCTACTTTGAATTGAATTTGAAATATGATTTGATCTTTTGTTTTGTTTGAAATAAAGAGTACATGAAGGCATGATTATGTCCACTTTTGAAAGAGCAACAACAAACAAGGTCTAGTCAGTTCGTCCTGACTTTGAAATAGTATATTTTTTCTTAGGGACAGCCCCATAAAACGAACGGTATTCCTTTACGGACAGCTATAACTCATTCTTCAAAAGAGTCATCTTCAACTGATTCTCCATTTTGCAGGGGAAAATTCTCTGGTTCTCAAAGAAAATATCAAACTCTGTGCCACCCATTTCAGCTTGGATTCATTTGCGCTGCAGTGTGACTACGTTTACGTTTCGGACTGGATCAAAACTTGTCTCTGAAGTTAGTAGCTTAGCACCATGGGTTAGTTTTCTACGGAGGGAAGTCAATCAGAACATGACTTAATCGGAACTTTAAGATCCTACAAGGTGGCGGCGGGAAAAACAATATCCATTTTCAAACAAATACGGATACGTGTGACGGGGCCTTAAGTCCCTGATATGAAATGTTGAGCAGTGATATCAAATTAATATCACACTCGACAAAATTTTATCATTTAACTAACCAAATACTGATTTGTATACCTGAAGGCCATGAGCCTCGTGTCGTGTCAGTTGATGTGTCTGTTTTCATGCAGAAAGAGCGGATAATGCCCCTTTTGCTGTCCACAGTTGCGTCAAGATGGAATTGCGGTGATTTATGGTTGTTTGGATTGTCATCTTCTGTATCCTGGTATCTCCTCCCAATGAGCCAATGAAATCCCTTTGCATCAGGACACCCGGATGCAGCTTTTGGTATCCCGTATGTGCCGGCTGGCCAATAGACGGACCCTGAAAAGAAACAATCAGAGTAAAACACTATGGCCTAGGCCCGGCCATCGCCGAACCAAACTTGGAAAGTTAAGGCCCGGTTCAGACGCCGAACTTTTCATAAGCCGAACCTAATTCGAATTAAGGCCACCCAAATTATTAAGACCGGCCGATCATTTCGGTCTAACTGCTTACAAAATACATTATAATAATTAATGCATTAGGTTCGGTACATGAAAAGTTCGGCGTCTGTATTAAAGCCGTTCCAAAGTCGTTCCAAAGGCGAAATTCTCGGCCGGGCTAGGCGAAAAGAACGGCTGAGCCGTTCCAAATTGAAACAGGCGTTCCTAATTGATTCGGACGCCGAAATTTTCATGTACTTAATTCCGGCAAAGTATTAGGTTCGGCTCATGAAAAATTCGGCTTCTGAACCAGGTCTAACTTAACGAAAAGTTCGACGTCTTGCTCAGTTAAGTCAGGGACACCCAACGTCGATTTTCGGAAAATATCTGTTCGGAAGACGATTTAAAATCTAGAATTTTCGGAACATTTGTTGTAAAATTTCTTCCTTGCCTGCCTCTCCTAGGATTTTCGATCATCGAAAAAATTGTACAATTGCCCGTTTTTAACGGGTTTTCACCTTAAAAAGGTCGCCTAGACTTTTCGGGAGCCTTTTTTCTGGCTGAAATTTTCGAAAAGGTAAGTTTTGATCCCTATGATTTTCGGATCACTGGACTTTCAGCTAGGAAATCCGAACAGATGAAAAATTTTTAGGGGATAAAAATATGCCTATATCTACCGTTTAAATACTAAAATACGTTCAACAATGCTATGTTTAAGTGGTTTTGAACTATATTCTCGTTGGGTGCCCTTGTTAAGTTCGTCTGAATGAGTTTGGATCGTCCTATACGAAGTTCTATCCGTCTGCTTCAGAGCGGTAAAACTTCTGTAGATCGTCTCCCCGGCCGGGACAAACGTCGATCTTGACATGCGACGAACTAAACCGAAATTAAAAAATTGTATGATAATGATTGTGTATTTAGTCTCGTTCTGCTAAAATTGGTTTTTGGTCTGATTCGGTTGATTGGTTCGACGCGCCACAAGTTCGACGTTTGACCCAATAGACGATCTTAACTTAATTTAGGTCAACCCAAATTAGAGTTTGGTTCGTCTTATGAAAAGTTCGACGTTCGGCCTAGGTCTATCTTAGTTAAAAAATATATATACATTGATTTTAACCCCAATTATTGTTGACATTGTTCTCCATTCAGTTTTAATTGAGTTCACCACTAAGTCACTTAACGTAAGGTACCCGAAACTGTTGACCAGTTCGATTCAGCGACGTTTTTCGTGTAAAAGAGCTTTTCAAATTTCTTAACTCTTTTTGATATTGGGGCGAGACGATTTGAGGTTGTGAACACCTTGCATTAACCCGGCTTTCATTCCTAATAGTGACGAAAGACAAAATTTACCAAAATAAAGTTATTTCTTTTGTTCTCGAAACGTTGAAGCCAGTTGACTTAAATTTGTTGAACTCGCATTGAGAAGACGATGATGTTTCTTGGAAAAATGTTGCAACCGGGGTGACGCGTTTTGTCCCATCATGACCTTATTTTAGCCTCTCTTAACATTCGTGTAATGTTCAGAAAGAGGATTTTGTACATGTAGTGGTTCGAAAGAGCAGTGTAGAAAGGACTGTAAAAGGAAGAACTATCAAGAAATTTATGGCTCAGTTTGTGGTGTCAGTTGATTTCTATAAACCCCAGCAGTCTTCTAACCCCCGGGGTCGTTGTAATTAATGCGCAAGTCGCTTTGGCCTCAGTTAAAGATCGATAGCTACTGTTTAGGAATGTCAGCGTGACGCTATTCGAATTATCCATAAACCTTGGCAAAATATTAAATATTGTCAAGCTCGTGATACATCGAACCTTGCCAAAAATCCGGAAAAAATGATCTCAATATTTGAAATCCCGGTAGGTTTTTTCAGCCCAGTGCGGTACTCTATAGTAACCGTGATAACCTAAAAATCTAACACCATACCGGCATACGGAAACTGTGGCCGTAGACTTCTAAGATTACGTATTATATAGTACGTGAGCGTTCCGGGATATTAAAATGTATGAACAGCTATATAAGTTTGCATTCCAATAAGACTCGTAGTATAAGATTCATTCAATGCGAGTAGCAGAAGTCTGAGAGGTAAAGATCGATGTTCTTGATTGATTAGATCAAGTATTTATCATGAATTTCGGTGATTTTCGTAGTTGCTTTTTGTCGGTTGTATTCATTAATTTCAGTCATCGGATCTCTTTACATTTCTCCACTCGCAATTTGCAGTTCAAGTGTATGTGCATGATCTAACTTATTCAAACCCTTTACAACTCTCCTGGCACAAACTATAAAAATCGAGCCAAAAAGGCAGATCTTTTTCATATTGGACGTCTCTAAGGTATACATATATCCATACCTGTGGTGTGCAAGAAATATGTAAGTGTCAGAAGACGCAAAATTCTCCAGGAAACCATATCCGCTGCATTAAAAGCAGCGATGAGATATTAAAATGACGAAGCTTCTAATCGTCTTAGGTACAAAAGCCTGTTTCAGGGTCTATAAATAACACGTCATCGTCTACGTGATGCGGAAATACAAGTCAACTGCACTGAGTGGAATTCACTTAACAGACCGTTGTTGTGGGGCTCACAAATGAGAAGCTGTGCCTAGTGTATGTAATGATTCAATGAATCAACAACGTTCCTTATGTAAACTAATAAGATAGTCTCAAGAAAGTAGACATTGTTCTGCGCTATGGAATGCCCATTTAAAGATCATGGGAGGGAGGGTGGGGCCGGGGGTCGCACACTACGTATCCTCATCCAATCTTTTATGTTCCTGAAATGCTAATTGTCTGTGATTAAACGTCATTGGTAAAAATAACTGGAAAGTAAGGGTGGAAAGGGATGGAACAACGTTCTGAAGAATACGTGTTACGAAAATAGTTTTGTTAATCCCCTTACCAAATTAGTGTGCTGACTGTACTTATGAATTAGGGTTTTCTTTGCTATATTTACATAATGCTAAGTAGCACTTTGCTCTTTCTTGGCTTCGACGAATAAAATTTCACAGAATTGACATTTTCTAAGGTTTTCCGACATTATGTTCTTCAGGAAGGAAAAGCAGTACAAAACGCATGGCCTACACATCGGTCATAATTTTCATTTTGAGCAAGCGCAACCTTACTTCGAACCAAATTCAGTGATCTTTTATTCACGAACAAATACAAAATACCGTAAAACTCCGAAAATAAGCTCCTCTAAATATAAGCCCCCCAAACCGGTAACGCCAGAACCCTCCGTTAAATCGCCCCTCCAAATATAAGCCCCCCAGGGGCTTGTACTTGGAAATTGCCCTCAAATACAAAGTAAAACAAAGCCAAAACGATAAATTTCCTCCCAACCATAAGGCTAGCCCAATCGATTTTGAAACGCGAATTTCCCTCCGCAGATAAGCCCCTCAAAAAGGGCCTTTGAAAAATATAAGCCCCGGAGCCTATTTTCGGAATTTTACGGTATATTGGTTAAAAATGGGCCGGCGCATTGGTGAAAGCACCCACATTCCACAATTGTGACCCTTGTTCGCACGTTGAGGTTGCTGTCAGAGATTTTTACCAGTACTCCGGTTACCCCCCTTTGCTTAAAATCCAATACTTACTGAATGCAAGAACACTCTTTTAGAGGGAGGGGGGACAAGCCTTTAAAAGTAAAACACACTTTTATTGTGACATAATTTTACTCGCTTACATCTTCTCAACCGAACAATATACTCTTCAGTAGATGCAACGTAGAGCACAATGGTTGATTTTAGGGCTTTAAAAATTTAAAACAAAATTTTGCTCAAGCCTTGAGAGCTCTAATAACACACTGATTTACTTATAATTGGAAAGGAGATAATCAGAAGATCACAAATGCAGGATTTGGATCAGCTAAATGAAAACGTCCTGCAGACTGAGCTCTAGTAATCCACTGATTAAAGCCTTGAGAGCTTTAATAACACACTGATTTACTTATAATTGGAAAGGAGATAATCAGAAGATCACAAATGCAGGATTTGGATCAGCTAAATGAAAACGTCCTGCAGACTGAGCTCTAGTAATCCACTGATTAGAGCCTTGAGAGCTTTAATAACACACTGATTTACTTATAATTGGAAAGGAGATAATCAGAAGATCACAAATGCAGGATTTGGATCAGCTAAATGAAAACGTCCTGCAGACTGAGCTCTAGTAATCCACTGATTAAAGCCTTGAGAGCTTTAATAACACACTGATTTACTTATAATTGGAAAGGAGATAATCAGAAGATCACAAATGCAGGATTTGGATCAGCTAAATGAAAACGTCCTGCAGACTGAGCTCTAGTAATCCACTGATTAGAGCCTTGAGAGCTTTAATAACACACTGATTTACTTATAATTGGAAAGGAGATAATCAGAAGATCACAAATGCAGGATTTGGATCAGCTAAATGAAAACGTCCTGCAGACTGAGCTCTAGTAATCCACTGATTAAAGCCTTGAGAGCTTTAATAACACACTGATTTACTTATAATTGGAAAGGAGATAATCAGAAGATCACAAATGCAGGATTTGGATCAGCTAAATGAAAACGTCCTGCAGACTGAGCTCTAGTAATCCACTGATTAAAGCCTTGAGAGCTTTAATAACACACTGATTTACTTATAATTGGAAAGGAGATAATCAGAAGATCACAAATGCAGGATTTGGATCAGCTAAATGAAAACGTCCTGCAGACTGAGCTCTAGTAATCCAC